AGATGATAAACATTTCAGGATGTGTCAACTGTATAATTTCATACCTTTTGTTTCTTTACCATAGGTCTGGCTTTCATGTAAATGTACAGAACTGTACCAAAATTAAATAACTTAAATGTTTTATTCCTGAACAACACCAGAGGTTCTAGTAGCCACCTTCCAAAACATGATACAGCAGATTGTCATGAGAATTAAGTAACACATTCCATGTGAGGGTCTTAGAGTGGTGCCCAGCTATGAGACTTGTCTTATTCCTCCCTGTCATCATTACTATTATATTAGAAATCATTTTTTATGAAACATCTAAATTCAATTGCGTGTTTTTTACTTATTACCTAGAAGACTACAAATAAGAGAGAAATTTATATAAAAGCTTTTATTTTTTCAGAAACCGAAACTGTTTGCATTTCATCTTTTTCTCATCAGTGCTCTCTCAATTGGCCAGTATCTTAGAACAAGTAATCTCTTTTTTTTGTGTGTCACCTCAAAGCATACAGAATACAGCAATGCTAAAATGGGATTATTTGCATGTCACAGATGAATTACCTGGGGCTCCACAACACGTCTCAAGAACATCACTGACCATACAGCAGGAATAACTTAAAAATATAAGTACTTCAGAATCTAATGGAACAAATGGTGAAACTTCTGATATCACAACCAAATACAGCACAGAGGTAATGGCCAGATTATTATATTGCTTTTTACAGTCTTTTACTTCAATTGGTCTCGAAGTTGCACCATTAATTTAGGAGCTGGTGGAATAGACAGAGCATAAAGGTCAGTAAGCTAAAGATGAGTTCTTAGCCTTAAAAACAATGTTTAGTCAAGACCTTTGGCTCTATTTGCTTGAGCATGGGCCAAACCAAAAATAAATATACTCAGAACCTACCAAGTTTTGAGGAAATAATATTTCTACAGAACCTCCAAGCCAGGTTTATAATAGCCTCTTGCTGTCAAATTACCAAAACAATCTCACGCCTTCAAATCGCCACCAACAGGAACAAAGCTAAAGCTGTGTGGCCTCCAAGAAGGATAGCTTTGCCAATGCCCACCTTGTTGTGACCATGAGAGAAAATGGACAGAAGTACCTCTCAGGTGGAAGAGCCAGAGGCCATGGAGGGAAAGAGAAGGCAGAACCAGAGGTTGCCAGACGGCTTAATCATAGAAAGCACTCCACTGCCAGGGAAATACGTTCTCAGTATTCTTTCCAAACAGGATAGGCTAATTGCTCTGGCCCACACCAGATGATGGCTGTATGGTTCCCATTTTTTTCCCTTTTCTAAATGGAAGTTTTTATTACAGCTACTTATTTTCTTCTTATTATTATTTTCCCTCTTATATTAAGTATCCCAGGGTTGGAGAGCAGATAAATGTCTTTAACTTATAATTGACTGGACTACACAAGCTCCAAGTAGACTTGATGAAGAAGGCTGCTTGACACTGAGCTACATGCAGTTACCAGATGCAGAAAGCAGTTCTTGCCTTTTGGCAGGGAGATAAGTACATGTATGAAAGGAAGAAGGACATGTAAAGATGTAAACAGTTAAACAGGAGCTATCAGAGAGACTGGATGGGTTATCAAATATCTCCTTTCACCTTATTCTTTAAAACAGAACTCTTATTTTACTCCGGGCTGACTTTATTCATAGCTAAAAGTATACATTTCCCAATCTCTTCTGCAGATTGAAATGGACAAGGAAATGTAAACAGAAATTGCTGTGCAGGGTTCTATTAATTCGCTTTAAGACTAACCCAAACATAAGGATCAACATTTTGCCTTTTCACCCTTTCCTTTCCAACCTGGAATACAAGCATTATGGCTGGAATCCTGCAGCCTTTATGTGACTTTGAAATTGGAAGCAACACACAAAAGACATGTTGGCAAACAGAAAAATGGATCATGACCAAGATGGCCTTAATGTTGCCCTCAAATTGACTAATTTTAGGCAGGGTTTTTCCTGACTATAAGTCCTTGTCTTAGCACATTTATTTTAGAAAACTTGTAACTGCAAATCCTACCCTTTGAAATGTATCTGAATTTCCCTTAAAGCCTAAGACTCAAAGAGGTCTTTCTCAAGGTCCTAGAAACCATTTCTATGAAATGTTAACATCAAAGGAAGAAAAAGCCTATCTCCCAGTCTCTGTGGAAGGACAGAAGCTTAACTTAGGTGGGTACCTTGCTCCAACTTGTAAAACTACCTCCTGCCAGGAAAAGTGGAAAAAGTTTACTTTTCCACTGGGTAAAGCTAATTAGTAAACAAAGATGTCCCCCTCCCCTGCCACAACAGCTCTTAAAACACTCTCCTGCTCTTTGTTTCAGTAGAGCTGAGTACTGAGACCCAGTCTGTATTCTTTCCTCTATTGCTGACAATAGTATCAGAATTAATCAATTTCTGTTTGCTCATCTTGTCCAGTGAGATTTTTTTTTTTTAACAAACCCTAATGACTATGTGGAACCACAAGTATCTCTTACCTGTCATGTCAAACTTCTTTGACATGATAAAATAAACTCCTGATTTGTTTAAATCACTGTAGTCAGGGTCACTTTTACCAAGAGCCAAAGGAAATTCCTAACTGATAGAAAGCTTCAAATGTAAAAGTGAGTAAGGAACTGATAAACCTATGGAAAAATTTACTGGGGCCCATAGAGTATATCCTGGAAGTGAACTAATCAGAATTAAAATATTCTAATTTCCTTTTATTTTCTAAGAAAAGGATGTAAAGTATTAATTTAATTGGAAACTTATAAATTTAATTGTGCATGGTAAAATTTCAAAATAACCATTAAAAGGTGAAATACTGAAGTATGTGATTTTCAAAACTACATAAGTAAAACTAAGAAAAAGGGCTTAATTAATCCAAAAGAAGATCAGTAAATTAAAAATAAAAATGAAGTATATTAAAAAGCCAGAAAGACAGAATGTACAAAGGGAAGTATTTCTCCATCAGGTACTAATTAATGTTAGGTGATAGAAGTGTTAACTTGATTGTAATAATTTCACAATGGATATATGTATAAAATCATCACATCGTATACCTTAAAAAATTGCCATTCTACAACCTAGCCATATACAATTTTAATTTGTCAATCATACCTCAGTAAAGCTGGACAAAAAGTTCTATATTCAGGAGATCTAAAAAGTAACCTCAAAATATATTACATAAAGATTTATAAAACTACCAATCAGTCACACTCTTTAAGCAATTGAGAAGTTAGGCAGGAGAAAACATATACACACGCACACAATTTGTATAGCACAATTAGGCCTAACTTAATAGACATATTTAAAAATCCTTACCTAACAAAAGTCACAGAATGTACACTTTTCTCAACCACACATGGAACACTTACAAGTAAGATCCACACTGTGGGTTGCAAAAGAAATCTTAAATATCAAAGAATCAGTATCATGTATACCACAGTGTGTCCTTACAACATATTAAAGGAGAATAGCAGCAGAAACCATTACCTGTTTGAAGAACATTTTAAAAGTCTTCTGAATTGACCAAAGAAGATACACTGAGGGGAAAGAGAAAATACTTAGAACTAAATGATAATGAAAGTAACATATTGAAACTCATGGTATGTAACTGAAACAGTACTTAAGGAGAAAGATACATAAAAGTATTAATAAGTATTTTTAAATACTATATAAGAAAAATTTGAAGGATCAAATTTAATGAAGTGTCAGAGTTAAGACGTTGAAAAAAGAGTAACTGACTTAAAAGTATACTTAAGGTAATAAAGATAAGTGCAAAAAGGTAAAAAGTAGAAAAATACATAATCAGGAGGATTAAAATAGCCAATGGTTGGGGTTTTTTTAAATAGTAATAAAATAAACAAACCTCCAATTAGGATGAATCAAGAAAATGATAAAACACCCCAAAATATTTTAGGAACTGAAAAGAAATATATTATAGATGCACTAGAAATTATAAAGATAATATAGATGACTTCATGCTCTTATAATTGAAAACTTCCTAGAAGCACCTAGAAAATATCCTTACATATTGACTCTAGGATAAACAGAAAACTTGAATAATACTAGAACATTAAAAAATGAATCAGTTAATCCTTCCCACAAAGAAAACTCTAGACCCAGGTGGTTTTATAGGTAAGTACCATACAATATGAGAGTAAGAGATGATTTCAGTCTCACTCAGAAGTGTCTAAATAACAGACACTGAAGAACACTCTTCAGTTCATTTTTTTTCTTGCTTATTTTTTATTGTTATGTTAATCACCATACATTACATCGTTAGTTTTTGATGTAGTGTTCCATGATTCGTTGTTTGCATATAACACCCAGTGCTCCATGCAGAATGTGCCCTCTTTAATACCCATCACCAGGCTAACCCATCCCCCCACCTCCCTCCCCTCTAGAACCCTCAGTTTGTTTTTCAGAGTCCATTGTCTCTCATGGTTCGTCTCCCCCTCCGATTTACTCCCCTTCATTCTTCCCCTCCTGCTATCTTCTTTTTTTATATACTAAGATAATTGTAAAATAAAAAACAGATAAGAATTATAAAATAAAATTACAGACCAACCTATTCAATGACCTAGATTAAAAAAAAATCCTAAACAAAATACTGCATGAATCCAAGCAAAATATATGAAAATATAATAAATCATGTCAAAATGTTTATATTTTAGGAATTCTAGGTTGGTTTGATATTAGAAACCTATTATTGAATTCACTATTTAACTATGTTAACTGAATGTAGAAAAAACAAGTGATGGTCTCAACTGATACAGAACACTCATTTGAGAAAATTTCAAAACCCATTCAACAACGAACCTTTAACAAATCAAGAATAAAAAATATAGCAAATATTACACTTACTGGTAAAATATTATAGGCATTCATTTTCAAATCAAATATGACAGTGATGTCCAATATCACTGTTTCAATATTATTCTAAAGTCCTTCATTATGCAGTGAAATAAGAAAAAAGGAAAATAAAAGGAGATATAAAGATAGGAAAGGATGAAATTAGTGCCTGCTTCAGCAGCACATATACTAAAATTGGAATGATACAGAGAAGACTAACATGGCCCCTGCACAAGGATGACATGCAAATTCATGAAGCGTTCCATATTTTTATGCTAAGTGAAATAAGTCAAGCCTAGAAAGATAATTATCATATGGTTTCACTCATACGTGGAACATAAGCAATAGCATGGAGGACCATAGGGGAAGGGAGGGAAAACTGAAAGCGGAGAAATCAGAGAGGGAGAAAAACCATGAGAGATTATGGACTCTGGGAAACAATCTGAGGGTTATACAGATGAAGACAGAAGCCAGGTGATGGGTATTAAGGAGGGCATGTGTTGTGATGAGCACTGGGTGTTATATGCAACTAATGAATTACTGAACACTACATCAAAAACTAATGATGTACTATACAGTGGCTAACTGAACATAATTTAAAAAATGGATTAAAGAAAACAAGGAAAGGATGAAATTAAACTGTAATTGTTGTAGATAATATGATTGTATACAGAGAAAAACCCCAAATGTTTTATAAATATTAAAATGAATAAAGAGGTTAGCAAGGTGCTGGATATAAGTTAAATAAACAAAAAATAATTTCTTTTCTATGCTCCATAAACCAATGAAACAAAATTCCAATTATCAAATCTCTAAAAAAAATACACCTCTGGGGCGCCTGGGTAGCTCAGTCAGTTGAGCGTCTGCCTTCAGCTCAGGTCATGATCTCAGGGTCCTGGGATCAAACCCTGCATCAAGCTCTCTAAGCGGGGAGTCTGCTTCTCCCTCTCACTCTCCCTCTCTCAAATAAATAAATAAAATCTTTTAAAATATACACCTCATTACAGGTAGCATAGAGTAAGCACACTCCATCCTCTCTCTTCCATTAAATGCAACTATAAAATCTAAACAGAATGTAGGAAGCAGCTATTTGAGGACTCTGAAAAGTGAATAGGATCAGGCAGATCAGGGGAAAAGACCAAAATTCAAAGTGCCACCAAATCACTGGTGTTTACCATTGTTTCTACTCCGATATCCCTCAGTCTTGACATACACCAGGGTTTGGACATATTTTTAGCCACTATTCTTATAAAGACTATTTAAAGAGGTCTTTTGACAAGATTAGAATGTGTAGTTAAATATTCCTCCATTAGGAAATCTTCATCTTCATCTGCATTAGTAAAACAGGGACTTGGTGAAGTTTCCAAAATCAAAACATACTTGGGAACAGGAGTATTAGAGCTATATAAAAATCTCTGCTTCTCTTATCATGAAGCTCAGAAGCTCAGAAAGCAACTATGCTCCTCTTTTATACCATTTGTAAAATTTGCAGGCAAGTATTAAAACCAAATCTGGGATGTCCTCTATTTGGGTCAGAGTATCTCCACTTACCTTTATTTTACTGGGTAGAAGAATAACCTTTCATCATTATTCCAGTCATAATATTCTCCTATAATATTTCCAGACAAAAGTTTTAAAGTTTTGCTTTACACATTTAAAGCAAATGTGGAACTGAAAGTGTTTGGTTTTTTTTGTTTGTTTGTTTTTTATGGATAATGAGTTATCCTAGAACCATGATGTATCTGTATAACACCATTCTCACTTACCATAAGTGTGCTTTGGCACTACATTCTGTTTTATTGGTCTATTTATCTCTTCCTCTGCCTTAATTATTATAGTTTATCATAGTGTTGTATGTCATCATGTTTGGCAGGGCAAGTCTCAGTCTTTGTTCTTCAGGATATCATAGTTATTCTTGGCCCTTTGAATTTCAATATTTATTTACAAATCATATTATTAAGTCCCATGAAAAATCATTTCATATTTTTATATAATTGTATTGATTCTATAGATCTGTGTGCAGATAGTTTACATGTATAACAGCATATCTTTCCACAGCTGAAAATCTAGTATTTTTCAGTTTATTTATAAAGATTTATTCTTTTTTTCCATAAAGCATTTGTCCAGCTTTTCTTTCAGGATAACAAATATACTTCTACTATTCACAAATATGACTTTGAATTTGTTTCTAAGAGACTGGGGTAAAATGACTTTTTAAAAAAGATTTATTTTTTTATGTGAGAGAGAGAGAGAGAACTCGAGCAGACTCTGCGCTGAGCATGGACCCTGATGGGGGCTCGATCCCAGGACCCTGAAATCATGACCCAAGCTGAAATCAAGAGTCAGACATTTAACCAAGTGAGCCACCCAGGCACCCCAGGGTATCATGATTTCATACTATATATTTGTTAACATTATTGTTATCTCTCTAATGGACCCATACATGTCAAGTCACTCTTGGAATTATATTTACCTGAAGACTCTGAAATGCTTACTTCTACAAATTATGATCACAACTATTATTATTACCTTAATTTCAAAAAAACATATGCAAGAAGTGATGTTAGTAAAACATGGATTTTATACCATGGTAGCTAACATGAGAATCATCAAATTCAATATCAAATTTAGCTTTAACTTACTCATGTTTTTTGGCTCTTTGAACAAAATTGGAGATTTTCAAGTCAAGATTTAAAAGAATCCATCCATATGCTATTTAGAAGGGCTGTCCCATATCTCCTATCTCATGCTCATCTATTAAGATCCAACTACAGCATTTCCAGCAGGATTGCAAGCTTTGCAACTTGAGGCTGTACATTTCCAAGATGGCTGCTTCTGCTGATTTCCATTATAACTACTCTTATCTCAAAGGCATAAGGCAGAACCAAATTAAGTCAGCCCATAGGGCTAAAACTTGGATAGACAAAACCAACTAAACATACCTAAAGAAGATTTAGTCCAATCTGGTCTAGCATTAGCTGAAAAAAAATATATATATGTGAATTAAAATAAGATAAGACTCCCTTGCTCTGATTGGAAGGTCTTAACTGCTAGTAATAACTGGTCCAAAATCTAAATTTACAAACAGAATCTGTTCCTGATTTTGGGGACTCTCTGGTCTATCTCAAATTTGTAAGGAATATTCAGGTCTAGAAGAGAGAAAAGACATTCCCACTGTCCTCCCCAATTTTTGTACAAATGCTCAAAAACTTTCAATAAATGGAATCATTAAAAAACAGAACATCACCTGGCCTTCTGCTTCTTCAAGTAAGGGGCAGGAATTAACAGAACATTGAGGATAGAACTGATCAAAGAAAGGGAAAACTCCAGGTAAAACTAACGGTTCTCTAAATTAAACAATTAGATAACTCATGAAATAAAAGTTATTGAAAAATAGGTAAGAACGTTTGGCAATATTGTAAGGAAAATGACTCATGGAAAACTAATTGCCCAGCATTTGCTCAATCACATGGAAAAAGTAAACAGGATAATGCCTTTTTCCTAAATGAGGGTCATCCAAAGAAATAGTATATCCTCTGTATTGACAATTACCACTATCTTCTAAAGGGAAAATATCTGTACAATTAAAGGGACAAAGGATCCCTTTCCTAGTGGACAAACAAGCAATAATTCAATCACTAATCCTACCACCATTCTGTCACCTCTTCCTTGAGGTAATTATACTGTTTTAGCAGAAGCAATTTCAATCACTCTTCAAACTCCTTTATCACATCCTTTTGTTTCCTTAAGCCACTCAAGTAGTCAGAATGGTGGGAGATTTGTTATCTATATGAGGTCCCTGTAAATTTGTTATCTATATGAGGTCCCTGTAAATGTGTTTCTTTCTGGAAATCCCAGAAGAATCCCCAGCCATTTGATGACACAGATTGATTACCCACTTTCTGATACTGCCTCTGCTGGTATGTTAGACCTTAGGTCTGTCCCACATAGTCTCTGAGGCAAAGATGGCCCACCCACATGTGGGATGTATACACAAAATTTTGAAAGTCTCAAATGAACTGGCTATGCTTTTCTGAAAACTACTCCCATACTCGCTGTCTTTATACCTCCAGAAACGACTTACTATCCTCTGTGTTATCTCTAAAAATGTTACTTCTGTCTGTCAAATAGGCAAATGGGTGAGGTTACCGATCTGTACAAGAATTTACTTCCCTGTAGTGCCAACCCTAATATCATCCTATTGTCAATCCCTGAGGCAAATGTTTATTTTACAGTAGAGGATATATGTTTAGCATTAGGGTACAGCTTCATGAGCATGCAGCCTGTGCACTGGCACAAATCCTTGTGCTGAGAAGTGCCTTGAGCGTGGTTTCCAACTGCTGTCATTATCTTGAATTTTTTATTTTTGAATAAGGAGCCCCATATCTTCATTTGCACTGGGCCCAACAAATTAAGTTGCCAGTCCTAACCAGCAATCTTTGGCATACCCATGCACCTAGACTCACAATATCTATTTATATGCATAGTGGGAATTCAACATTGTATACAGATAGCACTTTCACAAGGATCTAAGAAGTGCTCTTGTTTTTTTGGCATAATCTTAGAGACAAACTCCAGTTTTGTCACACTCAAGTGTATTACCTAGATCATGGCAGTATGCAAGGGAAAATGGAAAAGCTGATCATTGGTTGCACCACACATGTTGGAATCTTATCTCCCATTCATAACTTGGCTGAGACAACCAAATAATGTAAAGGATTAATTCATCATGTTCAAGTTTATAATTAACATGTGCAGGCAACTTTTCTCGAGGATAAACCATGGGCACCACTACATGCCCTTCAGCTTAGAGATTTGGTTTACTAGAAATGACAGCAACATGCTTATACTCTTGAGCCTTATGGAACCTGATAAACATCATACTGCAGGAAATCTCCAAGAAACAGAATCTTGTCATGTTCCTCAGTTAAAAAGACACTGTAGACCTCATCAAAATTAAAAATGTTTGTTCTGTGAAAGATCCTATGAAGAGGATGAATTGACAAGCTACAGATTGGATGACAGTATTTGCAAACCACACGTTCAACAAGAACTTGTATCTAAAATGTGTAAAGAACTCTCAAAACTCAACAGTAAAATAAATAAGCAAAAACAATCCAATTAGAAAATGGACAAAGACGCAATAGCTTGTATGAATCTGTAGGCAATTATGCCATGTAAAAAAAAGCCACTCTAAAGGTTATATACTGTATTTATTATATGTGTATATGTATATATATGTAAACATACATGTTACATAAACATATATATG